GGGTAGCTTATAGCGGCCATTGCCTCCATCAGAGGCGATAAAAAAGTTGGCGGGGTTGAATTTATAGCGTATCAGAAGCCATCAATTTGGCACTCGCCGATACAGGAGCCTGTCATGCAGTCAAGTTTTAAAAGTCTACAACTACCTACTTGAAACATTCAATTGTACAACTATACCAATCTACTCGCAGAAATGGCTTCTTCTCAACCTACTCGATGGGCTGCTCTCGCCCGTGATACGAACGAGACCAAGATTCAGCTTGCTCTTAACCTTGACGGCGGCGATTTCCCTCCAGACACTGACTCCCGACTTCTTAACGACGAAGATAGCCATGCTTCTCAAGCTAGCAAGTCACAGAAGATTGCCGTCAATACAGGAATTGGTTTCCTTGACCATATGCTTCATGCTCTAGCTAAGCATGCGGGATGGAGTCTTGCTCTGAGCTGCAAGGGTGATCTTCACAGTCCGTGACCCTTCAACCGCCACCGAGGGATGTTAAATGACTGACTTGATATCTAGTTGATGACCACCACACCGCCGAAGATGTCTGTATCGCCCTTGGTTATGCTTTCGCCCAAGCTCTCGGCACTCCCGCTGGTCTCGCCCGTTTCGGCTACGCCTACGCTCCGCTTGATGAGGCCCTCTCGCGCGCGGTCATCGATCTTTCCAACCGTCCCTACAGTGTTGTCGACCTCGGTCTGAAGCGAGAGTGGCTTGGCCAGCTTAGCACCGAGATGGTCCCTCATTGTCTCCAGAGCTTTGCCCAGGGTGCTCGCGTTACGCTGCATGTTCACTGTCTTCACGGTGACAACGACCACCATCGAGCCGAGAGTGCTTTCAAGGCTCTTGCTGTTGCTATCAAGGCTGCTACCACAAGGATACCTGGTAAAGAGGGTGAGGTACCTAGCACCAAGGGTACTCTGAGTGCGTAAGGAAACGGTCGCTTAGGAGTTCCGGATAAAGACTTGATTTTGGTTAGAACTACACCTGCGATTGATAGGGATGCAGGAATCATGTTTTGAGAGATAAGTGAATATACAATCTATGTCACATCGCAGGTTTCCGGAAATATTTGCAATGCGTTGGAAAGCATGTCTCCTCAAGGGCCAGCATACCGCATTCACTACGCATCCATACCAAATATCATGAAGATCGTATGAAAATTTACAGGTCGGCTCATGTATACATGCAATTCAGGCTATATTCTTGGTAAAATCGTCAACCCCTTCTGGACAGCCCTCAAGTTCGATAGTCACCATTGATAGTGACATAGTCATGGCTGAAGTCGCAGGTATAGTGCACAGCAGACTTGTCGCCTGTACCTAGCCTGACAACGATCTCAAGATCTTCCATGGCGAGAATCTCTGATGCTCGCTTCTCGTCAACCTGCTCGGGCTCACCGTCCACGAGCAGCTTCAGCTCAGCCGAGCCATCGGTCGGGATGAATGAGACATTGGTGCGCTCGGGAGTAATCTCAGGAACGTCATTCACAGGCTGACCAGGAGGAGAAATGAGAGCATATCCGGTGGCGCAAAGGACACGGCCCCAGTTGGCATCCTTTCCGTACAGAGCAGTCTTAACGAGGGGGGATTTGGCGATGGATCGGCCAATCTCACGGGCTGCCTCCTCAGAAGCACTGTCGACAACACGGATAGTAACAAACTTGGTAGCACCCTCACCGTCTCGGACGACATACTTGGCCAAGTCAATAGAGAACTCGGTGAGGAGTTCCTGGAAGGCTTGGTAGTCAGGGGACTGCTCAGAAGTGACCTCCTTTCCGCCAGCGGCACCGTTAGCAAGAAGAGCAACAGTATCATTGGTAGAAGTGTCACCATCAATGGTGATGGAGTTGAATGACCGGTCCACAGCATGTCGAAGAACATTGGGCATGACAGCAGGGGAGATAGGAGCATCGGTAGCCAGGATGGTAAGAAGAGTCGCCATATTGGGAGCAATCATGCCTGCACCCTTTGTCATACCAGCAATGCGATACTCAACACCTGGAGAAGAAGGAAGCTCAAAGGATCGAGACATGAGCTTAGGGAAAGTGTCTGTGGTACAGATAGCCTTTGCACATTCAAGCCAGTTCTCGTGAGAACCACCAGCCTTGCTAACAGCTGTGGGGATCTTGTCGAGAATCTTCTGAATTGGTAGCCTGGATTAATTGTGAGCCATTGAAGCATCAAATTTGGCCAATCGAACAAACGAACCTCTGACCAATGACTCCAGTACTCATCACAATAGTAGAGTCCTCATCACCAACCCTCTGATCTGTCGTGCGGGCCATACTGGTAGCATCTTCAAGACCTCCGGTGCCGGTGACAGCATTCGCATTACCGGAATTGACAACCACACTTCGCAGGCCCGCGTTCTTCTTCTGCTGCAAAAGTTTCCTGCTATAGGTCACAGGAGCAGCCTGGAACTTGTTCTTCGTGAAGACACCAGCAGCGGCGCAGGGACGATCAGAAGTGACGAGGGCGATGTCGGGCTTGCTGGTATTGCCGGGCTTGACACCAGCCAAAACACCTGAAGCGACAAAGCCTTTGGGGTATTTTCCTGAAGTGGGAATGTATTGAATCTTTGAAGGAGGAACAGGATTTGAGCCAAGAGTGGCTGACGCCGAAGAGTAGGCGCGAGCGAATTTCTTCATCATCTTGGCGACTCAGGATTGTATTGATGTTGATGCTATGGTTGATGGGAATTTTCGTGGGGGTTTGATATGGAACTGTAAGCTACCTAGTGCGGTATCGCAGCGATCAGTGGCTGGAAGGATCCAAGAGACTCCATTGACTCATTTATGATCAGTTCTTCGATAGATTATTTCATTTCTCCTTAAGTTTTCACATATTAATGAATGACACAGTACGATATTTCAGGAATCGATAGCTCATATGGAATCTCATGATATCGAAGTGAGAGTTTGACTGAGGTGAGCCTACTCAGTAGTGAGCCATATGAATACTTGGGATGGATGCTAAGTAATCGGCCACCAACGGAGTGCATACTCGCAAGAGCCTGAAAAAAGTAATTCCCAGATTATAGACCAAATGAGTCTATAGAGGCAATTAGGAGAACTTGTAGGAGGTCGAAAGACCCGTAAATCAGCATCCAGTGTCAAATATGAGTCCACAGTTGCTCCTTTATACAAGCCGGAGGAAGCAAGACAACTCAAGAAGAGGATGCGAAATTAAACTTGCCAACCAGGCCCCCAAGGTTATAAATTCATTTCATCATTTGTAATTGAGGTCGTCAGTTTTAGCTCCCTAAATCCGTAAATAGGACATCTGGTAAGAAGCTGTGTTCAACAGGAATCCTTTCTTGATCGTAAGTCCTCCTAGAGCACTCAACCTCGAATCTTTTTATCGCCACTAGCAATGCAAAGCTGAAGGGAGTCCAGATAACTCAGGGTAACAAAATCGATTGTTCACATGAACAAACCATAAAGCTGGGACTGCCAATCATGCCAAGAGGGTTCACACAGCTGAACAACTACAGCCAAGGTATGGCAAAAAATGAAAGTCATGCTAAAGTAATTATCGGATATGCTTTGAGAAATAATACCGTACTCTAGGCACAGCCAATGGAATCGATGGTGTCGCGTGCCTACCTCAGCCTCAGGGAGCAAGGAAGCATCAGACCTTGATATAAGGTCTCAAAATAAACCTAGTAAAGAGTCACCTAAGCTTAGGTTAGATTTGCCTGAATGTTTTTATCGCTTATGGTCAAGATTCTGAGTTTTCTTTTCCATCTCTCCAAGCTTTGGTACCTATGGCTGTACCTAGGATAGAGTGTGCCTGCCTGCTGGGCTGGAAATTAAGCTGTTGCTTCCTCTGTGCCTGCCTGCGAACAGTGAAACCTTCCGCTGGTGCCTGGAAATTAGAGCTCCACCTTCCTATCATTCACGCTCAGATTGGTCTTGCTGCCTTAGGTAATACATCAAAGTGATCCGTGCGCGAGTGATCTCTCCCAGCTATAAAACCCCGACTTCCTCCCACCCTTTCAGTCTTCTTTTTTTCCTTTCCTCTCCATCCAAGTGCATGGGCGTTTTCCTTCTCCGTGAAGCGATAAGCTGAGAGAGGAATTTTGCTAGTTGAAAACTATACACTGACCGCTCCTTGTTGGGTTCGCCTGGCAAGGGAATTTTTGGAACTTTCATTTTCTTTCATTGCGACCAGTCCTTGATGGACTGCCGTGAAGAAGGAAGCTCACGACTGATGAATAATTGCCTCTGATCAGTCTGCTCTCGGCGCCCAACGTGATGTCTCGCGTCAATGTGAAATTGGTCCTTCCAAGGTCAATGTGACGATAGTAAATACCAAAGAAACATCCATGCCAAGCTGAACACTTCTTCTGGGACTCTTGTAACGTGGTGCTGCACCTTTTGATGCTTAACATTTTTCTTGAGCGTATTGTGTGTGATGTCAAAATGCGACGCGATGTGAATCCTGTGGCGCGTGTGACCTTGAATAGATCTGATGTTCGCGAAAGAAACGACATGGGACTGACGAACATACAAGGATATCAAATAATAGCTTCATTATCCATAATACACTTATCGCATTCTGCCACCACCTTGTACGTAGGTAGGTAGTGAGTGAGTGGCATTCTACGTAGTGATCTAAGGTAACTTAGAGGCTCTGCTGGACTTCCAACTGCCACACCCACGCCTCTTGAGGTTTGGCTAGCGCGGGGCATTCGATCACTGATTGGATTTCTCCATCCAAATGCCGGTCCAAATCATTATTTTCGAATGACTCAAAGCCTCCATTTGAGTGTGCCTCGCTGCAAACGGTACCTTTACTGTACCATTTTCTGCAAAAATAACGAGTATTTTCCAGTGAACCACACGATTATCGCATAGAGAATCCCATACCGAACCTTCTACGCAAGTTTCAGCACAGCGCACACTCTTGTCTTGATCTCGAAGAGTCTGGGAGTGCCCCGCCTTCGGATAACCACATTCTCGATATCATCGCAAACGATCGCTCGAACCAGTTCCAATGTCCACAGAAACCGAGGGCTCGGCCCCTGCGCCGCAGACCACAGAGAATAACGATGTGAAGACGGAAAAGAAGGAGCAAGTCCAGCCTCAGAAGCCCAAAGAGCAGCAACAATCAGCGCCCGCTGGCGAGAAGAAGCTATCCGGCGCTGAATTGAAGAAGAAGGCCAAGGAGGAAAAGGCTGCCAGAAGAGCACAAGCCAAGGCTACTCAGGCCTCACAGGGCCCCTCGCAAGGCGGTCAACAGGCGTCTGGTGATGGGAAAGGAGGCAAAGCAAAGCCTAAGCAGGACGGACAACATCAGCACCAGCAACATGGCGGTGCAAAACTCCCTATTCGGCCAGCAGCAGCGACGGCTGTGGTTAAGGACGACAAGCCTTCGATACCAGACTGCTTTAGCCACCTCTCTATGGCTAGGCGGATAGAAATGACAAATGCCGACAAGGACGTCCATCCTGCTGTCTTGGTTCTCGGCGAGCACATGAGCGCATTCGTTATCAGTGATAGTATTACACGACTCGAGGCGACGCTGTATGCTTTCCAAAAGGTAAGAAATTCTGCCCCTGTGATGCAGTATTGATCTAACAACACCAGGTCATCGACTCTTATACAACTCCCCCCGGCTTCACTTTCTCCCGCCATTTCACACCTCACGTTCTCAACCCCCAGATCGAGTACCTCACAGCATGCCGCCCCATGTGCTTCTCAATGGGCAACGCCATCCGGTGGCTGAAGCTCCAGATCAGTAAAGTGGATGTCGATCTTCACGACAACGACGTAAAGAAACTCCTCAAGGAGTCCATCGACAACTATATTCGTGAGCGTATCACTCTCGCAGACTACGTGATTGTTGAGACTGCTGCCACCATGATTATACCTGGCGATGTTGTACTCACCTACGCTCATCATCACCTCGTCGAGCGCACTCTTCTTCAGGCTCGCAAGAACAAAACGGACTTCCGCGTGATTCTGGTCGATGATCCTTATGAGCGCGTCGGAATCGATCACGCCAAAAGGCTCTCCGCCGCTGGTATCCAAGTCACCTATGTTTCCGATCTTGGTGCTCTGCAAACACATCTCTATGAGGCAACCAAAGTTTTCATCGCAGCCGAGGCCATCTTCAGCAACGGCGCCATGTACGCTCGCGCCGGCTCATGCGATATCGCCACGGCAGCTTCTGATATGAACGTTCGCGTTGTTGCACTCTGCGAGACGGTCAATTTTACAGAGCGTGTATCCATCGATTCTCTCACATACAACGAAATCGACCCTGAGCGATCCACCGATGTCGGCTTCCGCTTACTCTTTGACACTACCCGCGATACGTTTATTTCGGTGGTTGTGACGGAGCTGGGCAATTCCTCTGCCACGTCTGTGCCTGCAATTCTTAGAAAACTAGAGGAGCTGTAATCAGGCTTGGATTGGGTCAAAGGAGTGTGGAAAAGTTTATCAGGGGTGATAGACGACGCGGCGTCTTGAATTGTCATTCTTGATAACTCGTTCTTGGGTTGGTGCTGGGATTAGAAGCAGCTCTATGAGGCAATGACAATAAGTTTTAATTCATTGCGTGTGGTGTAACATGACATTAGTTCAATCTGGTGATCAATATCGAGTTCCGTGAAGCAATAGGCGTTCGGTGCTCTAGACATCACATCATCACAGGGTTCAGAGCTTTGGGGTATTACATTCCAATCAAACGTCCCATTTCGACGCTCAATCGCCCAATATCACAATGTACAATAATGTTGCCCCTTCAATCTTCTTGTCTCAAGCCGAAGAGGTCTTCATTTCCCAATATCTTAAATTTCCATTCCTGTTCATTCCCCTCTAGGCCTCTGCCTTAGCATCTCGCTCCGCCTTGCGCGCTCGCTTCTCGAGGAGCAGAGCCTTTCGTTCTTGTAGAGTAGAGGTTTGTCTGTCGTCAACGCCCTGCAGCCAGTATCCGAAGCTGGCGCCGCCGGCCGCATATACGGGGTACACCCAGAGGGAGGACTTGTTGAAGAATGGGCGCATCTCGATGCCCATTTGCCAGAATCGAGCGCCGAGGCCTTTTTTCTACAGTTAGTATTCAATTCTCTCTGTCCGTCGCATGTGTCTTGAATCCAATTGCTCATGTCGTATGCTCGGGTGCTTTGGGCGGGCGAATTGGCTCAGGTATGTGACGTACCGAAAAGGCTCCAGAAGGCGATGCGGTGAACCATGATGGGCAATTGACCGTCGAGTACTCAAATTCGAGAGTGGAGAGGTCTCTTGGAGGAGAGGTTCGCTCGGAATGCGAGTGGGAGCGTTCGTTACCGAAAGGTGAGGTCGTGATCTTCAAGATCCATCCTAAGTTCACTGCAATTGGAGTCGAATTGATTGGTCACGATGACGATCACGTGAAACCACGTCAAACAGCTACCCTATACCTCACTTATACCTATGTATCGAATGGGTTTCTCGCAATTAAGAAACAATATAAAAAGGTCTCGTGGCAAGTTACTACTAGATTTCTCCTGATTACTATTTATGCGGCGAGTATCAGCGTGGGCAGAACGTGTCCACAGAGGTTGGTTTGTGAATCCCGCTCGTGACTAACGAGCAGCAAGATCATAATATCGCGACTGCTTTATTAGTTGCACCAATATTGTGAGCCAGAAATATCGAGGTGTGTGTATCAGCCCCTATATGTAATACTGGAAGAATCTAGAGTCTACATAAAGTCTAGTGTCTTAATTACGGCCATAACCATCAGAACAACCAGAGAGGTGATATCACAAGAAGCCAAACGTCTCAAAACTCCCCGCTATGCTATAATAAAACGCTCGTCAGTCTAGCAAGCTTCGTCCCAGTTCACCCGGGTAAGGTGGTGGTGCACCAGACGGAGGTGGTGCAATCGCGGGTGTTTCGCTGCGAGGCCCAGCATTTGCAGTCCATTGGGCCGCTCTGGCCACGATCTTGGGGAAATACTGTTGGATGAAAGATTCACTGGCATCGTTAGCATGATAACATTGGACGAGATGGGGTGAACTTACGTATAGTAGCTGTGATCAGAATTGTGAAGCGACACGAGATTGTGTGCAAGTTCGTGTGCCAGAACTACCCACCACCAGGTAGCAGCCTCTGCCTTGGCTTGCCCGCTTCCTCCTGCGATTTGCACGGCGTGCAACTGCAAGAAGAACCTGAAATTACAGAAGATACTGCCTCCAGTGTTGAAAGCAATAGTGCCGCCAGCTTCGTCATAAAAGATGTGCAGGACTTTGGGTGACATAGAGTAGGTATTGCCCACCTCAATCAGCATACTGGAGAACACATTAAGATTGTTCAAATGTTTCGACAAGAAACCCCCTGGGTCTCTGATATCCTTGGAAAAGAATATCTTCATACCATTTGAAGTTTCTGCGATGAAAGTGATGTTATTTGCTGGCGTCTTATCACAGTAAGTGGCTTGTTCCTTGACCTCGTTGACCGTGGGCTCCGAAAAGACACTATCAGATCCGTACGCCCGGGTCGATTTGATAGCATTGAGCAAGTTCTGCTGCACAAGGGCAGGACTTGTGACTCTGCCCTCATCCTGTTGCGGCTTCTTGCCGGTGTTGGAAGAGCTTCCACAAGGTGCCTCAATCTCCTTAGGTTTATCCAAGAACTTGTCCAACTCTTTGTGAGACTCGTCTTCATGCTGGTCAGACTCAAATCCAAGTCGACGACCGATGTTTGCGAACAATCCTCTGCTCTTCCTAGCCTGTTGTTCAGGAGAGCGCTTTGTTTCCTCGGGTGAGTCCCAGGAACCTGGCATTGTGGGACCAAGAGGTTCTGGGATCCTGGTAGCTTCGCGTGCAGCCTCGGCCGCTTTTGCCTCAGCCCCCCATTGCTCTTCTCTCTCTTTGATCTGGCGCTGCTCCTCTTCCAGTACCTTTCGTCTCTCTTCCTCAGCAATTCTGGCCTCGGCAGCCTTGGCCCGAAGGATACGATCGACATTGTAACCGCGATTTCTCAAACCGTAAAGATCAAGCGTGAGGAATGGCTCAAAGAATAAGTAAGCCTGCTGATTCGGGCGGTTTAGCAGCATTTGGCAGATGGCTTGGCCAATCTGGTACATGTCGGGCTTCGACTCATCAGAAACATAAAGAACCCAGCCGTTGCTGGTCTTTTCACTCGCTGCTGATCGCTTCTCCGTGTGAGTCTGATACTGACCCTTGAGAGTCCTTCTCAAAGCCACTGAGCGAACAATGTGGACCGTAAGGTTCTTGTCCAGCCATTTGACGTCATGCTTAATAGCATCGCGTCGGTAGTTTGTGTATTCAAAGAGAAAGATCTTTGATCTCTCAACAACATGCTTGCGGAGACTGAGTGCAGCCTTTTGTTTATCACTATGGGGCCCAATTCTGACCTCCTCCTGAACAATACTGCTCAATTTCTGAGCACCAAGTGCTAGATAGAATTCTTCAAGCGCATCCTCTTCCGGCGCACAAATAAGGCGATCCTTGAACAATCTGTAGCTGATGATATCATCCAGGATCACTATTTGACCAGCAGAGGCAAGCTGGTATTGTCGAATAGGTTCATCCTCTTCCTCTAAGTCGTCGGACTTCCCCTTAGGGGGCGCGAGTTCTTTGTATGCAAGGAGGAAGGGCGCTGTACGCATTTTCCTCCATAATTCTTTGTCTCGGTGGAGTGTTGGGGATGCTTCTGCTAAGGATTTAAGAAGATCCAGGTACTTCTCTGAACTCTGTAAAACACCGAGGAGACGGGCTGGCTCACTGCATGCCATTTGTGCAACCTCCAACTTGGTGGGCTCGCTTTTGGCACCACATTGGAACAAGAATGCATTCGCCTCAGGACCAAAGTCGACAAAATCGAAGATGTCTCCATATGTATTTGAAGCCCCAAGGTACACCCGTGAAGGACTGACATGAGTCATGGAAGAAGTTGATTTTTCAGATGATCGAGTGGTCCTTGTGATAGGAACTATCGAGGCGTTACGCAATTTGACTAGGGTATTCTCGCCGAGTTCTGTGATTCGAGAGGCGAAATAGCTGAAAAGTGCCACAGCATTCTGATGATCTTGAGGACGCGATGCTAAGAGGCGGTTCACACAGTCCACCATTGGCGGATCTCGTGCAACACCAAATTTCTATAGATATTAGTTGAGTCTTGGTCAAGTTTTGGATCAAACTTACAATAGCATGGTCGTGTAGATCTTTCCTCAAAATGTTAAACCCAAGGATAGACGCTCGCGGGTTATAAAAGCACTGCGAAGGCGGTACAAGACGGGTACTACCCTGCAGAGGCATGATTGCCTTGGGACTGCCACCGAGCTGGAATGACCCGTATCCATTGATCTGGTGGTTGGCGAGGAAATATGTCATAGACGAAACCCGAAGACTTTCATCGTTGCCAGACATTAGCTCAACGAGTTCAGGGACAGATGGATAAGGCCTTAGTCCAAGAGAATTTATGAATCGAGCTTCTGGGCCTCCAGGTCGATAGCTCCCAGGAGGCCCTGGCCACTGGAGGATAGGTAATCGCAATGCACGCAAAGAGTCCTTAGGCTCGAATAGTTCCGAAACTTTGTAAAGCGTTGTCGTTCCCTTGGTGGACTCCATGCCCTTTGGACCAGCTTCGGCTGGGCAAAAGCGTGTCTGTTTTAGCTTGCTCAGGTCTTCACCTGGAATATCCTCGCGGACAGATGCTAAATATTTGATGAGTTCCATGTGACTCCATTTCTGATGACCTTCACCAGAGGCGTTCAACAGCCTGGTAAAGATGGTCTCGAGATCTACAGTTTTGCGGACGCCAATAGTGACCAGAAATTTCTCCTTGATCTTCTCGCAACCTTGAATGACCGGAAGATCGTCGAAAAGTCTGACAATCGGGAAGAAGGACTCAGTAGGCTTTCTCATACCCTGCTTTGTAGGTACAACTGTATTTGCTTGAAGAAGAGAAACAATGGTGGTTCTTGCGTTCGGGCTCGAGTTTTCAAAGTTCTTTGCAAGGACAGTCAAAATCTGAATGGCAAACTTGGACGATTGAGTCAAGTTCTGTTCCTCGGGTCTAGAAGAATTTGTGTCCAGAAGGAATCGCAACCATGGGAGAATTTCTAACGGCTCCCATCCTAAAGCACGCAATTCAGCTTGCTGAGAGTTGGCAGTGAGCGCATGAGGGATTGTTGTAGGAGGAATGGGCAAGTTGGCAGGAATCCTGTTCGCGATGAGGTGATTCCGAATGCTACCAAGGGCAATGATCTCGCCTTGTTCCCCATCATCACTCATCGTGCCAACAGCTACTTCTAGCAAGGCGGATCGACTGCCAGGATCGAGCTCACCACTCAAGCTCTTCTTGCCTGCCCAACTGATAAAGTTCATCAATTGAACTTTGTTCATAGCCTTTGTCTCCAGCTCAGTCTTCACATCTGTGACCGTGATGTGTGAAATGAGACCGAAATCTATGAGCTTCTTCACAAATGGAACACCCTTCATTTCCTCTGGTACAACAGGGATGCTGTTGACGAATTTACTCATCTCATCCGAAGCAATGCGCACATCGACTGTTTGCAACACGCCCCGTGTTGAGTAAGTCTCGATTGAGGCCTTCTTAAAGCACATCCAAAAAGCTTCCTCAATAATCTGACCAACTTGACCGCTGGGAGTTGAGTCCTCAAATGTGAAGGTCTTGTGAATGTGAAGAGCTTCTGGCATGAACTTGGCGATGACTGCGGGAGAGAATTTGGTCTCTTTTGCCATAACCTGTTTGATTCGGCTACTCAGGTCGCTCATCTCGTTGGCAAAAGCAAGCCGAGTAATGATACCAGCAGCACGAAGAATTTCAAGGTTCCATGTCCTGACCCAGCGGGCATTCAAGTCGATAGCCTCTCTTTCCACTGTGGGAATCACGGACGGTGCTGAGATATGGAGTCCAGCTCCAGTAGTCTGCATGGTGGGAAAGCCAATAAAGATGCGACCGCCCGGCTTTTTATTGGGAAGCACAGATGCAAAGACATCTGTAGCTTTGCCAAGCGCCCCCGATGTTGCGGCCTCCTGTGAAGCTTGAGTCTCATCATAAGACGAAGTTAGGATGGCAATCTTGGTTGTCTTTGGCGGGGGTTTCTTCGTCGCTCTTTCGAGTTCGGAAGCGAAGGACGAGGCTACGCTTGTACGGATGCTTGCAGAAGTCGCCCGAAGGAAGATTGTGGAGGACGAAAGCTTAGTCACATCTTCGGAAATCGTCACTTGCGCAGCATTCTCCTCGTGCTGTGCTTTTGTCCTAATGCCTGCCTGTGACGCACTTGACGTAAGGCGGGCAAAGAAGGATCTCAAGGAAGGAGTTTCAGGGGTGCCGTAGGACTCATTCTTTGTGGTGGATGCCGTAGCTTGTGGTTTCCATCCTATGGCGGCCATGTAAGACGCATCGATCTGCGTGCTTGTGCGGTCAACGCTAGTAATCTTCATTAGGCCATCCTTTGTCCTCGCCTCGAGGTCGCGAGGAAGAGGAAGTTCAACGCTCGGAGATGACTTTTTCTTCAGAGACAGAATCTGGTAGTCATCAATCCAGAACTCAATGTGCTCGAGCGCAACAAATGTCAAACTCGTCGCAAGGAACTGGCTAACAGACAACAAGTTCGGGAGGGGTGTGGTTGTATTCCTGTAGTCGAGGACGAATGTTGTATGATGGGTAGCTTGATCTGCCGGAATTTGAGACTTCTTTGTGAAGAGTGCATTTCCCTTCCAGTAGAATGCCATGGCCTCATTACCGGAGCTGACAAACGGCTCTTCGCAATCAGCGAAAACACTGTAGAAACCGACACCGAAGGCACCGATCTTCGTTTCATCGGGGTTGCCCTCAGCGATACGCTTTAGTCTTCCCCAGTCTGTCTTTGTGAAGGGTTGTCCATCGTTCTGCACGACTAATCGACGTAGTGTATGGTTCGACAAGGTGTGTTTCAGTATCTCGGATCGGCTCGTGGTATTCGGTAGTGGCACCTGTGTTGATGGGAGAGTTTCCCATTTGACGCTGACAGTCTTTGCCTGGGCATCCGCAGCGTTCTGAATCAGTTCTCGCAATGTTGTCCACTCGCCCGAGTATCGCGCAAGAACTTTGTCGATAAGAGCTCGAGTATCGACGGTAACGGCTTCCTCGTCTTCGCCATCGCGGAGAGCGGTGGCTCGTAGTCTTGAATAGTCCATCGTGGCAGGGTTGTGATGAGGTTTATAGGTGCATTATTGGGTCGACGGAACGGTAAGGGGTTGAAAGATGTAGGTTCAGAAAAGAGGAGGAGACACCTGTAATCTATTATTTATTAGTAATGATACTTTCTTGAATGAATTTAAGGAAGTGGTCTTGGAGTACAAGCAAGGCAGACAGCGACTACGTACAACGGTGAGGAGTGGCAAACGGAATTAGGTTTTATCAAACCCCGAGTATAGGGGGATGTGACAGAATCACAATAGGAAGCAAACGGTGTGGTAAAAGGGGATGGCGTTCAGAAATCAGAAGTCTAGTCAGAGAGGTACGAAGACGGTTTCATCGTTCATATGATCTCAAACTCGTGGTTGCATAAAGACCCCGAGGCTGTTAGAGGTGGTCCCTGAAAGTGACGTTGTCCACTGTCTCTGGCCAATCAAGATGGATACCGACTCACACCATCACCATCGCGCTGGGAAGATCTAGCGATCTGGGGCAGCCTCGCCGCTACCTAGGTCCCGTTCTAATGATCATCACCGCTAATTTCTAGAGTAGATTACTGAGGTGGGCCTCATACTCTCGTTCGTATAATAGTCCGATTACTTTGAGATGGCGGATCTGAGGTTTTATTAAATAGCATTTTTCTTTGATGACTTGAATAATCTCGAGAGTGAATTTGACTGAAAGTCTTGTGCGACGCTATTTGCAGTATGCATCACAAACTGATAAACCTCCCGGCAGTACTCAGACGAAGGCTAAGTGCATCAGAGTTACATCCAATATGTTTCTACTGGGTAGGCATTTTCCAAATCACCGCTACTACCCGCCATGGATCCTATCAACTTATACTGAGTAAGGTAGCTTGGGCCAGCCGTGCTTAGACCCATCCATGGAAATTTTTGATATTGAGTCAACAATCGCCTTGGGTTGCCGAATTCGCATCTCAAAATGGAACCATTGATAGTAATTTCTCCCCCACCCCTAACAAACAGCTATGACTCGCTTCCTACCAAGAGATTGCCAAGCCTGTAACTGGAATCTATCTTGGTAATTTCTGAGGTCATTGTGTAGATTGTTGGTCGAGTCCGGAGTCGGAGGTCGAAGTCTTGTAAGTGAATCACTGCTTTTGTGATAGGCATGGGTGCATGCCCGAGTTGGGATTTTGCTTTTTGTACAGGATGGAAGTATTTAGAAGTGAGTCAAATTCGTAGTATATAATATATTCCATTCACCTCTCTTCATTTGCTGAAACTCAAACACCTGCACACACTGAAGCTTGCTACTCAACATCACTATTCTCTTCATCTTAGCCAAATAACAGCACACCCTACAACAAAACGACTTCATAATGTCAAAAGGCCGCGTTTGTCTGTAAGTTTATATGACGTTGATAATAGCCTGCTGATTAAAAAAACATTTGCTAACACTTGATTGCAGTGCCTATTCTGGAGGTACACACTTCTGACTCTTTCACCCAGAGTGATCAAGTGTGAGATTGAATGCTAACATTTAACCAAGGTCTTGATACCTCGACTATCTTGAAATGGCTCATTCTCGAGGGCTATGAGGTTGTGGTATGTGAACCTCTTCAGCTGCTTCTGCAGGTCCAATCTGACATACTTTAGTGCTTCCTCGCCGATGTTGGTCAGGCCGAGGACTTCGATGCTGTCGAAAAGAAGGCCCTCGCTCTTGGTGCGGAGCGCATGATCATTGAAAACCTCCAGAAGGAATTCGTCGAGCAGATCGTCTTCCGAGCAGTCCAGTGCAATGCCATCTACGAGGACCGATACCTCCTTGGAACTGCTCTGGCCCGACCTGTCATCGCTCGCGCCCAGGTCCGCGTTGCTGAGAAGTACAACTGCAATCTTCTGAGCCACGGCTGCACAGGCAAAGGCGTAAGTCAACCCCCTCAGACTTTGAGGACCACCTGCTAACATTTCGCAGAACGAGTATGGCACTTTCCACCACGAAAATTTCCAATTCGTAGATCACTGACAGAGCCCCTTAGTCAAGTTCGTTTCGAGCTCGCCTTCAAGGCTTGCAACCCTTCCATCAAGGTCATCGCCCCTTGGCGACTCCCCGAATTCTGTAAAAAGTTCCAAGGTCGACAGGATCTTCTTAAGTTCGCCGCCGAGAACAACATCCCCGTTTCATCGACCCCCAAGGCTCCTTGGAGCCAGGACGAGAACCTTGTCCACTGTTCGTACGAGGCCGGAATTCTCGAAGACCCCGATCATACCCCTCCTAAGGATCTTTGGACTCAGACTATCGATCCTCTTGTGGCACCCGACGAGCCTCTCGACTTCACCGTGTACTTCGAGAAGGGCCTCCTTGTCAAGGTTGCTACCCCTGACCAAGAGGCCACCGACTCAGTAGAGTTATTCAAGCTGCTCAACAAGATTGGTCACGACCACGGCGTCGGCCGAATTGACATGTACGTCCACTCCCAACATTGGTTTGTGGCCCAGCACTATGCTTACAGTTAAACAGTGTTGAGAACCGATGGATTGGACTCAAAAGCCGAGGATGCTACGACACCCCTGGTCTCACCATCGCCCGCCTTGCTCACGTCGATCTCGAGGGCCTTGTCCTTGACTCCAAGGTCCGCAAGCTTCGAGACCAATTTGTGACTATCGAGTGGTCCCAGTGCCTTTACAATGGCATGTATTTCTCCCCTGAGCGTGAGTGGCTCGATGAGGCAATTGTTTCTGCTCAAAAGGGTGTCAATGGCCAAGTCCGCCTCCGCGCGTACAAGGGCAATGTATACGTCCTTGGACGATCCAGTGAGACTAGCAGCCTCTACTCCCAGGAAGATGCTTCAATGGACAGTCTTGACACCTTTTCTCCCATGGACAGCACTGGCTTCATTGCTATCCAGTCTATCCGATTGGAGAAGTATGGTGCTCAGAAGGCTAAAGACGGCCAACCCCTTAGCCAGTCTTAATCTTGTAACAGTATGAATGCAACAACAGTGGTTTGGTATGGCGTTGGGTCAGGTAGATAGCTTAAAAAGTGTGCAAGCTTCTTATTATATGGGAAGCGCGAAGAATTGACTCATTGATTTGGACGCAAGATGGACACAAATGGTGACTTGACGCTTTTCCTTGATTTCTCTGGGAGGGGTATCTCATAATCGACTGTTTTAAAGTTCAAGGCCAGAAGCGGTGACTTTAGTCTCGACGATGAGGCCTCGGACTGGCACTGCGTCTGCGTCTATCTCTTGACCTTGATCGGCGGCGCTCCCTGCTCCTATCCCTGTGGCGTCGTTCGTCTTCCTCCGTGATTCCTCTTCGGTGACCCTCACGGTGACGTCTATGGCCATGGCTACTTTCCTTATCACCATCCCTATCTCTGTGTCTGTGTCTTGATCTATCCACATCTCGTTCCTTGCCTCCATCATGGTCACGACTTCGGCTCCTCCTATGTCGTCGGTGGCGGCGCTCGCGATCATGACCGTGATCGTGACTTCGATGTCTTCGTCCTTCTCGCCTCTCGGTATCGTCATGACGTCTTGAGCTCTCCATCTTTTCGTCCCCAGCTTCCTCCAGAGAGCCACTTTCCGGACCAATCTTTCGTTTACTGGGATCAACCTCTACTGCGTTCGCACCGGAAGAGTTTCGTACGGGGGGTGGCAGCCCCAGAGCTTTTGCGATGGCGTCCTCCTCGGCCTCCTTGATTTTGCGCAACTCTTCCTTTCGTTCTCTCTCTCGACGCTCCTCCTCGGTCTCGCCATCTTCGTTGGGCTCTCCAGAATCGTCTTCCGCTTTGGCATACCAGTTGAGGTCGCGACCTTTTTGCCAGCGTCCAACAGGTGCCTTGAGACTGTGGCCGAGATAGTTTTCGCGATGTGAAGAGCTTGCGACTTCATCCCAGCTAAAGTTGACGCCTCCTCTTGAACCGGTCTTGCGAATACTTGAAAGCAGATCCATGGTGTGTTTTTAGTGCTAGTGGCCTTAACTCGATGCGGCCTCGATATATGAGCGGTTTTCTTTTCGTCGTTATGAACTGCGATGGTTGTGAGATTGAAGGTTAGAGGTTGAAATTGATGCGCCGTCTTACTGGATGGGTCGCTGAGGCGGAACACTGCCGCCTTGCAACGCGCCAGAAGCGGAACCCCACGTCAAATAGGTAGAGCTGGAGCTTCAATACGTTTCTTGAACCTTTACACTGAACTCTAAGGAAATATCACCATCATAGCACCAAATACAACAAAGGAACTTGCCTACATAACACTAACAAAATAATCCTGATTCTTCACAATGTCGAATCCAAACGATCCTCCCCTCGATGAGATCCAATGGCGCTCTCCTATGGCGATTCAACAAATGGGCGGCCTGCACAATAACACCATCCTCTTTTACTTCGCAGAATCGCCCTTCTTCGAGCGCACGTCGAACAACGCCGTTGTATATAACCAAGCCATGAATGTACCCTCAATGTATCCAGTCATTCAGACACGCGAAGCTTTCGAGACACATCTTAACACCATGTCGGGGCTTGAGTTCAGGGTTGTCGAAGAGCCTGCTGAAACTGGCCCTGGAGCAGGTACGGGTGTATGGGTCATTCGTAAGCAAACGAGACGAAAGTCAGCGTATGATGACGACGAGATTACGGTTCATGCCACATACTTTGTTGTGGGGGAGAATATCTACATGGCGCCAACTCTTAGTGCCATTCTTTCAGCAAGAATTGTATGTTCTTTGCAGCAGTTGTTTTGCGAGCAGTTCTGACCTCACTGTTATAGTTGACGATATCTTCGCAAGTTACCAACGCCGTGACAACTGCTGAGTCTGTCAGAAAATGGGGTCCCTCTATGGGTAACTTTTACCAGCTCCCATCAACCAAGACATCAACAAAACCAAGGGTCCAGAACTCTGCAGCGGCGACCCCAATGCCTGTATCCGATGAAGCTAGTAAAGGTCCAGCTGCCCCTGCAGCAGCCGCGCAGAAAGATGATGAGAAATCACTAGAAAGACTAGCAGAAGAGTCTTTCATGATTCACATGAAGTACGGGGGCGAATACATCGACGAGAATCCTATCACAGGCCGCCCAGGTGAGTTCCACCTCACAACAACGGGCCGCAAACCACCACAAATCGCAAAGACGGATGGCCCCATTAGGAGTATCAATGCGCCGACGACGATCAATGCAAAGATCGATGATAAGAAAGAGAGCAAGGAGAGCAAGGAGAGAACACCCAAATCTGCGACTGCTCCCAAGCCTAAGCGTAAGAAGAGCAAAATGGTAAACTCTACTAGCACACCAGCTGCATCTTGAGCTATTACCGGTAGGAGCATGGCGTTAACCTGGGGAAAAGTGATGCTTTTAGTTTCTATACAGGAATTTGATACCCCAATACAGTTCATTAATATCCTTTTGTCATTTGTTTTAACACTTAACTAATAGTATAGCCTCCATCAATTGACAATGCAGCACCTTGAATGAAAGATGCCTTGGGACTTGATCAGAGCAAAACAGCATCTGCTGCTTCCTGCGGGGTTCATTTTCTTTTCTTGACGGCAGTCTGTACGGTCGGGTCATCTTCCGGAACATTAGCCATCATAGGAGTTCTGAGATATCAGTATGGGCACAATGAGATCAAGAGATAACTTCCTCAATAACTCCAGGGCAGCCGCAGTTAACACGAATCTGATCTTTTGTATACTATTTGTGTTAAACAAAAAGGTAGCGTCAATTCATTAGTTGGACTTACGTTGATAGCATTGCCTCTCGTCAAACTGACGATAGCTGCCTTTGAAGCACTATATATCGCTGTCCCAATTGCCATTCAAGGTTAGAGTCTGTTAAACGTAATGTATTCTCTCAAGTTTCTGGTTTCCCTATAGCCAAGGTTTTCCAACTCTGACAATGGAACCTCTAAACCCAGGCCGTCCAATATCCTCACTGATCATATTTTTTTTTTCAGCTCTTCTCTCGCAAACAGCCAGAGACCACGCAAGTTGGTATGTGTAACATGATCAGACTTTTCAGGGATGGCTTCATGACTCTTCTTTGTTGGACCGTAGATTCCTTTCCAGCCATCGTGAGTAGGAGTCAAAGGAAAACAGTGTATAGACATACCAGCACAGTTGACGGCATAGTTAATGCGTCAAAATGCTTGATAGAAAGCTCCATGTTCCCACCAACTTCACATGTGTCAAGGTTATCAACGTGTCTGATGAGCACACATGGATCTGCATCTCTGCTTACAGTTTCGATAGCCGCCTTGGTAGCGTTCAGGCCTGTGCTGTTTTTGTCGAACAACGCGAGCTTCCGACACCCTTCCATGGCAAATTATATAGCGAATTGACGTCCCATACCTTGGACCATCAGATGAGATAGCTATTTGGAGCAGTGGGCCATACCTGATGCGACGCCGGTTACCAAAGCCACGCCTCGGAAGAGGGTATTGGATCTTTCAGACATATTAATGATTACTTTGTCCAGACTCACACGAGAAGAGGACCTCAAGCGTACACCTTTTGTCTTATGAGCTCAACTGAAACCGTGTACTTTGAAGTTCTCATACTACCTACTTATAGCATCATCTTGCAAAATGACGTCGAGATCACCCAATCACACAACGCTTTTACTGCAGACTCAGAACGAATATATATATATATGAAATCCCAGTTTTTATAAACCACGAGGTATCCTGTCTATTTCAAGACTAAATTATCGAAAACATCTTCCATATCTGCAATCTCTACTCTACAACCCATCCCTTGCCAGGAAGCTTTCTCTGCTTCACCTTCTTCGCAGGGAGAGGCCATCCTTGACCACCGGCGCTCTCGGCTCTCAAATATGGAACCACAAAGCACTCTCTTACTATAGCTCCATCCGTGCCCGTTGTGGGCTTGAGCTCCTTAATCGGTTTGCCGTAGGTGATAAGGGGCGTTCCCTTGGCCAACCCTGCTAGTTGCCCGCCAGTTACGTCTGTAAGGGCATGCATTCTTGTCTTGGGGCGCTTCTCCGCATCAACTGAATGCGCGGCTCGCTGAAGATAAGAGTAAACGATGTACTCGGGGCATTCCTGAATACTGATGTGGGCAAGAGGCGAGGTGGGGTGGATGTATACTGCACGGTCGCTTTCAACTTCCTTGCCAGCGTGGATAGGAATCAAGGGGATATATGGAACGTCGATGGACCGGCGAGGCTTGCGGAATTGCTCAGGGGGGTTGGGTGTAAGATCTGCTCGAATAGCAACCTGATCCACGAAGCCAGCCGCGACCATTTGCTTCAGCGCAGCGACCTGTTTGGGGGATGGGGGATCCAGCTTGTCCTGGTATTTCAGGTTGGTAAAAGCTGAAACATTGGTCCTCAATAACTCTGTGATCTGTCTTCGCAGTTGCTGGATCTCCTTAAGCACCTTGTATCGAACAAAATGACTCTCACACCATTCTTCTGTAGGCTCATGAGCAAACTCACCCACGACTTGCAGAAGTTTGATAGCATCGGATTTATCGTCTAGGTAACAGAAGTTCTTGTGAACCTCATTAAACATCTTTCGCACATTGGCTTGACGATCTTCTGCAATGACGTCTGATGTTGTACGAATAGCTGTATCATCCTTCGCTGCGAGGGCAGGAATCGCTTGGTTCTCAGGAAGGAAGATTTCGGCGGCTGATAAACCAGCAACAAGAGCAATTGTGTAGTGGATGCAGTCATGAAGATGGCCAACTAGCAATATGCGCGCAAACCTAGGAGACAGAGGGAACACAGACATGGTTTGGCCAATCTGCGTAACTTGTCCTGTCGAGGAGATAGCAGATAGATATGTCAAAAGCTTTTCAGACTTAGCAAGGGCTCGTCGATCAGGTGGTGTAGGGAAGGGGAAGTTGACAACATGCTGGAGGTTCATCGCTTTGAGCTGTAGCACGATACCCTCAATAGGCATTCGCAACAACTCAGGATCTGTGAAAGGTGGGAAATCTCTCTCATAT